TCCACTAGATACAGGCCTCCAACTAGCCTGTCCTAGCTAACTTCTATTATTTGCTGTATTTACTCGGGGTTCATGATAATTGGCACTTATAAACTTTGAGCGTGATTGCTTTGAATGTTCTGCATCACCATGCCCAACTTCTTGACAGTTCATCTACCCCTGTGAAGACCATGAGTTCAGCCAGATACCAGTACTGGTGGCTGGGCACTGAACTGGGTCTGCAAATAAAATGTTAACTTCACTCCTTCAGATAGATTTGAGCAATTTAAGGATGACAGTCCAAAAGAGCTACATGCCAGCATTATTGTTATGTTTTGTGCTTAAAATAATTCTGTGACCAAAATAGGCACAACACAATGGAGAAAAATCCTTCAAAGTTCTTAAGCGGTAGTCAGGAAGTGCACTAGATAGAAAATATAACATTTTAGAATTTAATTGAAGCTTTTTTTTTCCTATTGGAAATAGAAACAAGCAGCTACTGGCCCTCAGAATGGTACAATAGGTCCTAAAAGCTGCAGAAGACGATGGGGTCAGACTTCGGTAAAGGCTGTAGATAGCTGGGATGAGTTGGATGACACTGAATTTGGAATGTCATCTTCAAAGAAGCCTAGCATTGCACTGTTAAAAGAAAAGAAAAACAAGGAATGTCTTTTTAGGTAAGTCCTATAATTATAAAATCACATTTTTTTTAGGAAACAGTTTCTAGTAGATTTATAGATTTATTAAGATAAATCTGCTAAAAAATTTCTTTTTGTTAACACCAAAAGTCTGCAAGAATTAAAGAAGTGTATGAGCAGACCAGCTTTGGGTGTGATGTTGATATAGTGCCAGTAATAGCCAAACTGAATCAAATTTGGTTTCAGGTACTGTAAGGTTTAGGTGTTTGTTGTGTTATTACAAAACTGTGTGTTTTATTAAAATCAGCTATACTAACCTCATTTAATTTGTCAGTTAAGTTTGTTACTAAATTCTGCTACAGTTACCCACATTTGCTTTTATTCCATAGTGTTGGCTATACTTTTTTCTTCAAAGTCCCAGGTCCAACTCTCATGAGGTATGACATTTGACTGTTACTTTGTGGGAATAAATTCTACTGATAAAAGTAGGATAAGAGAAGAGCACTACACTCCTCAGGCTAGGGTCTGCTTGTGGTATTCCAAGCTGGAATTGTTGATCACATTGTTTGAACATTTTGATTTTTCAGTGTGCCAGAACCAAAAGCTTCATGCTGTATCCACCCAGGAGGGGAAAATAAGGTTCTGATGAGAAATGATTCTGTAAGATCAAATACATCAGCAAAACAGTACTATCTAAGACAATCAAGATATCTACCTGGTAAGGGTAAAAGTCCATACAAATGGAAAATACAAACTGTGAACAATCTATGTACAGTACATTTAAACTTTTAGATTTCAAACTGGATAATTTTGCTTTTCATAACCAAGCTAAATTTTCAAGTTTTGGACTAAATGCATTTCCCAGAACATATCACAATTGATGCAGAAGTTCCTGTTTATGTAAATGTGGAAGGGATCTCAACAGTGCTTGTACACTATAAAAGTTCATAGGCCCTCTTATGACCAGCAAGATATAAAATCCTCAGTAATGTGAATCCCAACATCACTTGGATTCCTAGGAATATATCTTGATTGACCCATAAGCAAGTGTATCTGAGGGCTAAAGGAAAAAAAATAGATATGGATGTATGTATAGTGCATAGTTCTTAGTTTGGCAGTATCAGGTTTGGGGTTTTTTTGAACTTAGAAGTTCTGATAAGCATAGTTACCCTTCTTGGTAGGAAGTGTTTAGAAAAGTGTTCAGCCACTTGCACTGGTAGGAACTCACTTCCCAAGGCAGTCATCCTCCTTAAAAAGAGGTAGCTTAGTCTAAATCTGTGTGATTTCATCAGGAAAATAACACGAAACTATGTAAATAATTAATATCAACTCTTAAGAGAATAATAGCTCCAAGAATCATAGTTATCTATATTACTTTAATTCTCTTACCACTAGAACTGGGAGCTGCTTTCATGCTGTGTAATCCCATTAATTCTTATAATGCTCATAATGTGCTGAAGTAAGACGAACCTCTTTGTCTTACTTTTTAACTTATTCTTTGAAGAAATAGCTTATTTTTAGCCTTGCAAATCCTACTTTTTGGTAGGTATTTTTAATTTGTGTTAATTATTTGAGAGTCAAAAATATCAATAATGAGATTATGGTTTTATAGAAACCAAGAAACTGTACTAAAAAGGCTTTTAAAAGTTCTCTTGAAAGCATGAAGAGAATTGTTCATAAATCAGTGTCTCTAGTTTTCATGGTTTGGCTGAAAAATCTAACCTAATCAATGGACATTGTTCTTTTACATTAATGGGTTTACATTATATCACAAATAATTCACTGTTGTTTTACTGTTCTAGAAGTGTCCATTTTTCATTGGTTGAATTATCTTTGAAAATTGATGTTTATAACATTTTCCATAATTTGTTTTCTAAGGTGTAAACCCTAAGAGTGTCTCTTTAGTAGCAGTCAGTAAAGAAGGATCACATGGAACCTGGAACAACCAGTTGTTTTCTAAACCGCTGGTACATACTGGTGCAGGAGTGACTCTCAACAGAAACACTACAGGTAAAAGTGTAATTAAAAGTGGTTGCATTATATCTCATCATACTTAATTAAATTTAATTTAGTTAAGACCATCTGGTTTAACTTCTGTTGTCAGGCTTAGCTTCTAGGGTAATATTTTTTTTCCTTGACTTTATGACAGACTTAAAATAACAACTTCTTCATATGTAAACTATGTATTTTGCTTTCAGAGCATAAAGTATAGACCAGCCCCCATTATAAAGTTCTGTCAAGACAAATTTTGTCCATGATCTTCTTAGACCATTATTTTACTGGTTTAAGTAAATAGTTTGACCTCATTACTGCCTGGTCAGTGTGCTGTAGACCATCAAACGGCAGTGTCAGACGTGGAAACAAGATGGTGGGAGGCGTGCTCATGTAATAAAAGTACTGTCTAATATTCTAAACCTTTCTGTTAACAATCTACTAGCCTTGTCCTGAATATTTTGCTGCAGGAAGAGTCCCCTTATTTTCATCAAGGAACTTGCAGTAAGGTGCCCTTTGGCACTACATTTTGTGAAGAGCACATTATCAGAATTTTAGAGTGTGAATACTAAGACTAGTTAAACGGCTTATCTAAGATTTCACTGCAGAAAGCATCAGACTCAAAACGAAAACCTATCTTTGACCACCAAGCCCTATACTTTAAGTACACAGTCCCATCATCCTGTTATGGGAGGTTACCTTATTAGCAACTTTGCAGCCATTGTCCCAGCTAGCATGAGTCACTCCCAGATACTTTAATGCCACCTAGCCTTTCATGCTTGTAAAGAAAGAACTTGAGAAGGTTTGTTTACATGCAGATGCTGCACCCCTTTTTAACAGAACTTTATTAGCCATTCTGCAGTGTAACAAACCTGATTTTCCCTCTGAAAGTCAGGTGAGCTGCAAGTTGTTCATCTGAAATTATGTGAGATATTTTAGAAGTGGAAAAATAACAGCACCTACCAGAATTTTGATGGAATAGAACAGACTTTTTTTAAGCAATCATCATATGTACCTTTTTGTTTTCCAAAATACAGTATCTGGGTGCCTTAGAATTAATTAATATCTTCACAAAATAGTCTTGCAAGGCAATTGGGCACAAAAAGGCAAAGAACTGTTTCCAAAAGTATGCAGCGGTAAGCCAGACATCTACCTACTGAATTGCACTGAAAAAAAAAATTGAGATGAACGGTCATAGTAAAAATACTGCTTTTGTCTTACTGGCTTACTTTGGGTATCTACTGAAAGTTTAAAGAAAAAACCCTAAAACTGATTATTTTGTATGTTTGAAAGTATTTGGTATTGTTTCCATTAGTATCTTAAATTGCATGTGATGTTTTGTATACTGGGAAAGCAACAACATTTAAGACAGACACACATGAAACCAGGATAGCTGGAGCACCGATCACAGAAATACAACACATGTATGTTATGTATGTTTTCTTTTATTCCTATTGTCAGAATTGAAAGTTGATACCATGCTGTTTACTGTTTAAATAACTGTTTAGTTTATTTAAGTGCTTGGTTTCTTTCCTCATCCACAACATTGCCCTAAGGTGAAATAAGGTAAGAGCAAATAGTTACAAAAGCTTTATTTATGAAGAATTGTATGGCTATGATCAGTCAACTTTGCAGATACACCTGAGTGGTTAAACTTGTGATTTATATGTTAGTGTGAATAATAATCCTAAATATTCCATTATTAGAAGGGACCTTATAAAGTAACTTGTCAGAGTAACATTTCCTGATTGAGAAAACATAGGAATGAGACATTATAGTTACGAAAATGTCAGATATTTATTCTTTCTTGCTTTGTTTTCCCTCATTTCTTTTATATCACCTAGCCAGGTTCTTCATACACTTTTTCTAAAGTTCTGTCTTTCCATCTTTTTCTTCCTTTCATTTTCCTTCTCTCCAGATGAGAACTTAATTATACCTATTGAAAAGCTATCATGCAAAGAAAGGTTGAATGAAAAATTAGAGGATCCAAAAGGTAATTTATAGCCTTGCATATTTATATTGTGCATGTTCTTGTAAAAATTGCACTTACAACGCAGATTCCAGATGATCATATACTTCATTTTCAGTTGTAATGTGTTTTATCAAACCTTGCTCTCTTCGTTGTGACTTCTTCTGGACTCTTGGCATTTATTGTGCTTTAAAAGACAGAGGATATTTTATTAACCTAATTATAATCCATAGCATGTCACTGCACTGTTGCTGGATAATGGTGAAGAAGTGATTCAAAAGAAGCAGCACATGCATCTCTCCTGAAGGACTGCTTGTTCATAACAACACTTGGGACTTGCACCATTGACTACATTCTGATTTTCTATCTGTTACACTGATTTTACAGCGCTGTGATTGTATAGGTTTTGGTGGACTGCCTTTTTGAAAGAGGGCGGAAACTCAGGTTTCCAGGCAGCCTAGGTTGTGTCTAAACACATCATTTGCTGCAAGCATTGTAAAGCTGCTGGAATGTTTCGCCTCTCCGGTTTCTGGCCCCTCCAGTGTGTACTGCCTCTGTGATATGTCGCATTGCAACTATTCATAGGGTGTTCTGAACTCCCTACCTAGCTCAAACAATTCAGTGGCTTTATCCTTTATGAAGAATCAGATATGTGCTGTTGGAGGTAGAGGATATGGCCTGGGCCACACTTACACTTGCTGACATTGTGGCCATGTGTGCTTGCCTATACACCTGCTGCCAGACCTCCTGGATGCCTGATGGATCAATACTTGTATAGCAAGAACCCCTTCTTTTGTACAGCAGTGGTCACAGGTAAGGAACTGTGCTTTTTCAATGGGATTTTTTTTTTTTTTTTGGTAGTTATTCTGTTATTTTATATTGAACTTTTTTTTTTCTCCTTCCCTTGTTCTCATCCAACAAAAGATCGCCTCTCCAGACTTCTCTGTTTCACCTAGATTGCTCTTCCTGGCTGCACTCTTCCATTTCCTGCAGAAGGGTTCATAAAGGACATTGGATATTGAGAGGTAAAGAGAACCAAAAAATGGCTGAGCAGTTTTTCACAGGCAGCTTTGCAGAGCTGCAGATAAGATGCAGACAGAAGTCATCTTGTTGAGGTTATACTAATTGAGGCCTGACATGTTCTTATTTTCAGACCTCATAATTTTAAGGGATGCTACTGAGATGTCAGAGCTGTTAACCATTCCCAGTGAAATAATAAGGAACTGGGGGAACAGGAGAATGTGTATGTATGTGCACAGGTAGGTGAACGAACCACTAAAACTGTGTCGTTTTTTGTTTTTTAGGCAAATTCTTGAAAAGGAAGAACAACTTAAAGACTACAGAAAGTTAAATTTTGTAAGAATACTTTATTAAAATTGTATTTTTCACCAGGACTTTTGTGTCATTCTTTACTGTGCTGGAGACTGACATCAACTGAACACAGGGAAACCACATGGAGACCCAACTATTTGGGGGACTAATAGAAGTGACAGCTTGGGGAGACTGGCAAAACTGAGTTAGCTGAATGCTTTTTGTTAGTGCTCCTGAACAGGAAGGTATGCAATGACCCAACACAGCCGTAATAGCTGAGGATACCTTTTCGGGTTTGTGGGTGACCAATTTTGCAGCTTATAGAGCCAGTCCTCTGAGCTCCGAAATGATCACAGAGGTCTGGAAGGCTGTGTGTGAAGAGGAACATTTTGGGATTGCACTGAGGCCAGAGATTTAGGAGACAGAAAAACTGTCCAATCAGATATTGTCTGTTTTACTGCAACTACCATTGAAACCATGCTGAATATTAATATGATAAAAATGCTCACACTTGATAAAGGTCAAACTAGAACTACTGTGTATAGCCTTGCACTTCATAAATTTAATACTACTGAATGAAGAACCACAACACCAGAGAAAGCATTTCTCTCTGGACACTGTGCCAGCACAGTCTTAACACTGTTCCAAGGTAAAGGGGCTGCAGATAGTTGGTTA